CTGACATCTCTACGACTTCATGATGTTTAAAACAAGATCATAGATGTTCTAAAGCAGGATACTTGATAGACATCCACAACGAACTTGAAAACATTTGATCAACAAAAGGATAAGAATTACACACCTTAGCATCAGGATCAGCACCAGAAGCTAGAAGCCTTCGAATAATTGGAATGTTGTTTCTCCAAGTGACAATGTGAAGAGGAGTCAGACCCAAACTATTCCTCAAATTGATATTACTTCCATTCTTCTTCAGTAGCGCCAATGCATAATCTATATCAGGCAAGGACCCTTCTCCCACAGCATGCCACAAATCTTTATATGAGGCACCATATGAGCCTTTTCGCATGGATTTTTGGAGGCTCTGCTTATGTCCTTGAGGTGAATTTAACATATCCACAACACTTTAAATCCAGAGATCACTATAAATACTCCTAAAAGTTATTGAAAATTCAAGTTTTGAAGTGACAGTCCCTCCAACAGATTACGACAAGAGCCAAAGATTCTCCAAATGTCTATAAAGAAGTTAGCAAAAGGCAAGAGGTAATAATTTCCTAGCTACTTTATTCCATCTAGTCTATATTTTAACAAGAAATTAAAAAGCTCTAGATTCTAGAATCTAGTTCCATTTATGTGGAGAGTTTGTCAATAACAACATATCATCCCACCATCATCTTTGATGTAGTTACAAACATATCTCCTACAAAAAGGCGAACCGATGTGCTGCATTCAAAACTCGTTGTGTCAGCATAAAATACCCTGTAGAGGAATATGATAACAAAAGAAAAATGAATGATCAACATTAAAAACAACTCAATCACTGGATAGCCAACCAAAATGGAAAATGAAATAAATTCATATGCTAAGAGCCAAAAGGGCAAAAACTGTGTCGGAATTAGAGATAGAGAAGATGAAGAAGACAATGGTTGTAGACTGATTCATTTCTAGTAAATTTTAATGGTTGATCTAAATAAAGAACACAAGCAAAACCTCTAGAAAAAAACCAAAAATGCAACTATGAAGCATAGAAAAGAGAATAACAGATCAACCATAGTAAACTCCATTTCCAGATCCAAAATTACATGAAATTAACAAAACCCTTCATTAGAAATCAAACCAACAAATTAAAACTTCACATAAAAAACAGTAGCTTACCAAATCAATCAATAAAAAAAACCAAAAAAACAACACCAAGAAGAAAAAGGAATACCTATTGTAAAATTCTACATAAATTTCACAAAATACACAGAAATGCAGAAAAGACAACATTTTTCTATTAGAAGGATCAAATCTTTTAAAGCTAACCTGAAAGAGAAATTCCCCCTGAGAAATCGTTGGATGTTAGAAGAAGAGAAATTTGAACAAAAATTAAGAAAGGGAGGAAGCTCGCGGGGGCAACAGACTCACCGAGTTACTAAGTAAGTACGAGGGGAATTTTTTCCACAGATGAAATAAACGCCAAAACGAGTGAAGCGATTTGTGATATGAGTCGAGTGGGGAATGAACACGAAGAAAGACATCGATATATGGAGTTAACATAGATCATTGGCGCTTCACGATAACAGAGGGGAGAAGCCAGTGGACTGATACAAAGAGAAAAAAGGGGAAGCATGAAGCGGGAAAGGATGAAAATAATGGGGGAAATTAAAAGACGGCTTTTACAGATGACACACAATTAAAAGTGTACTCCGTGTTTTTGTAAATTTTTTGGATTATGACTATTAATATGACACATTATTGTAAGTCATAAATCGTTCAAATTTTAAAAAACATGACATTTTTATGATACATTTTTTTTGCAAGTCATAATTAGCGTGTGTCATAGTTCTTGTGTCATTAAAGGTATATTTTCTTGTAGTGTTTCATACCATTAATTTAACTATACTTACTCATACCATCTTATATCCATATAACACACTATCATTTTCAATATCTCCTTATAATTTTTGAAACTAAAAATCTTACCGAATTTCCAACATATTCTTAATTCACTTCTATTACTTCTAACTGCTTAATTAGATCATTGACAAGTCAAATTCAACTTCAAAATCCATTATTCCTTCTATTTCAATAATTCACTCAAAACTCATTTTACTTAATCTCTCATAACTTGTAAATCTTTGTGTTTTAAGCCACTTTAAGCTTCCCTTAAGGTTTCTTATCACTTTAAGAATCAAAATCAACTTTAAAATGAAACAATTACTCAAATTAATACCAACTCACCTTATAACTGAAGGCACAAGAGGAAGAAGATAACCAAGTCTCAAGACTTTTATTTTCCTTTAATCCCATTTTCATGTGTTAATATCGTTTATAAAGGGAAAATTAAAATCCTTCCTTTGAAAAGACCAATTACCCTTACTTCATTCAATATTTACTAAACAATCGTTCACAAAATATTCCCAATTAAGTCCCTGCACTTTTTAATTTTTCAAAATTAGACCTCAAAGTTTCATAACTTACATTTTAGTCACTGGTCCTGATTTTGGTATGTTACAAATCTCCCCTCATTTAAAGAAAATTCATCCTCGAATTTTCACTGCACAAAGAGATGGTTACTATTTATACGCATCTTATTCGTATTCCCATGTTGCTTCCACTATCTTATGTTTCTTCCACAAAATTTAACCAACGAAATTATTACATTCTTTAACTACTTAACTTCATATGTCAAAATTTGCACCGATTTTTTCTCGTTGATCAAATCAGATTAAACTTCTATTTCTTCTAATGCTATAATGTGAAAAAGAGTTTGTTCAATATTTCTTCCTTTCCAAATCTGCAGAAGAGTTTGATTAACTATCATATATTTAGGATGATCTTAGTTAATTTTTACTCTTTCTTCAACTTCTTTAATCCAATCCGTCTGTACAAAATCTCAATATTTTCATTCAAACCGACTTATTGGTATACAACATTTCTTTTATACCAAATTTCACTTAAATCTATCTTGATACCTTTCATAATTTGCTTACATACTACTTTTATCTTTAATTATTGAATCAAAGAGAAATATAATCATTATCTCTTAGACCACACTTACATGGCTAAGAAACACAACCTTAAACAAATATATGTCACACTTAGCTAACTTCTTCTGGCATTTTTCTTCTGATCTTTTAAATTCAATTTCACTCAACTTACATAACCTTTGTAATACCAAAATAATCTATTTAACTAACTATTTGTCTATACATGGATACAAATGTTATAGCGAATTCAAATTTCTGAGACCTTATTCAAAGGTTTCCATAACTTTAAGGTAACCTCAATCCTTCATCAGATATAGTCAAAATATATACTTCACAACATCAAACAATCTTTTCGTATTACGTTATGTACTTTTCCAAGGAACCCTCACCTCAATATTAAACTTATAATCTCCACTTTCATATAAACCCTTGTTATACTTGATTCTTTAAACTTCATCCTTTAATGTACTTATATACTTACTTCTTCACACTTCAAAATCTTCTTACCATGTAGGTCATATCTCTTCTGCATATTCTTTTACCATCACTTATACTCAGCTCTGAATACCAATCTTTATCACATATTATTAATCTTAATAACCAATATTACTTATACAAAATCTCATTCTTTATCATTTCTTATACTTATAATTTCTCCACTTAATTCACCAAGTATCAAATCCAAATAATCACTTGATCCATTTTAAATACTTCTTCCATTACCTCCTTAACTTCCTTCCAATATACAAATCCTTATTTCTCTGACTACCTTACATCTACATGACCAATATACACAACTATAAACAAATCCTCGTCATACTTGGTTAGGTTAACTTAACATTATATTATAATCTTTTAACTCTATTACACTTACTAGCACATATACTCATTAATCAACACCAACTCCTTCAATCTAGAGTGCAAATCCTCATCAAACCAATCATATACCCCTTTTTAGTCGGAATAACTCACTAGCAATTTACTCAACCTATTGAATTAGCACTCGTAGTCATACTCGGTGAAATTCCTTGATTCAAACTCATAAACTTTAGCTATCTATCTGTCTGTCTGTCTGTCTGTCTGTCTGTCTGTCTGTCTGTATGTCTGTCTGCCTGTCTGTCTGTCTGTCTGTCTGTCTGTCTGTCTGTCTGTCTGTCTGTCTGTCTGTCTGTCTGTCTGTCTGTCTGTCTGTCTGTCTGTCTGTCTGTCTGTCTGTCTGTCTATCTATCTATCTATCTATCCATCCGTCCATCCGTCCATCCGTCTATCCGTCTATCCGTCCATCCGTCCATCCATCCGTCCGTCCATCCGTCTATCCATCGGTCTATCCGTCCGTCCGTCTATCCGTCCGTCCGTCTATCCGTCCGTCTATCCATCCGTCCGTCCATCCGTCCGTCCGTCCGTCTATCCATCCGTCCATCCATCCGTCCGTCCATCCGTCCGTCCACCCATCCGTCCATCTATCCATCCATCCATCCATCCATCCATCCATCCATCCATCCATCCATCCATCCATCCATCCATCCATCCATCTATCTATAGTTTTAACATAGATAGGAGACAATTAAAAACTGTACGAACCAAACGATTTTAATAATTAAAGAGATGATAGTTATGTCTAGAAGTTCTGGGTTTGAACATCAGCACCAACAATGAAAAGATATTTAAACGCTTATTTTTAATGGTTGAAAATCTTTAGAATATATATTACTACTTATAATTACTTTAGATTGACATATAAAAAAACTATAACAAACTTAAATGTATGGAAACAAATAACCTCTAAAATATTGTAACAACAATGATATTAATTTAGAAACTATAATTAAAATCCTTCTATCTCATTTATTAAATGAAAAAGGTTACAAATTTATTATTCTTTAAAAAATGAAATTTTAAACTTGGACGTTTCTAGAATTTCATAATTAAGCCACGTGCCTAATCCAAATCCAAATCCTAAGTCCAGGAAAGTGGGAAAAGAAAAAGAGAGAAGGGAAGGAGTTAGTTGAAGTGGTGGCAAATCCCAAACCTTAAAAGAAACGGTCAAACTCCAAAAGCTACGGTTCACGTGTAGTAATAAAAATCTCATCTCTCTCTCTCATCGGCCGCCAAATGTGGATTCAAAGCATCAGTTACCGAACTTACAGTTAGCTAAACTTCAGGAGGGAAAGAAACAGAACAAATCTTAAAGTTCCCAAAACGCACACATTAACGGAGGAAAAAAATAACAGATAAACAGATCACGTACTTATTCTTCTTATTTTTGTTGTTTCTTTTTTTAAAAAAAAGATCCATTTTTTTAACAAATATGGCACAAGCCCAAGCTGAGGAAAAGCCTGACGAAGAACCCCACGACAGATTTCAAATGAAAGATCATCAATCCATTTCCATGGCTCCTGCAAAACCAACAACCAGTTGTAGTTCTCCCATTTCCATGGCCGCTGCGAAACAGACGATGGGTTGCGGTAGTGGTACTACTAGTGGCAGTAACAACCATGGCAATGGTGTAGCGTTCAAATTCAATGCACACGCGCCGGAGTTCGTGCCGAAATCGCATACCCAAATTCCCATCTCGGGTTATTATTACCCTTGTTTCCATTACCTCGGTGGTGGTGGTGGTGCCGCCGCCGCCGCCTCTGATTGGTTCTTCCTTGGTGACCAAGAACCCTCTACTTATTTGAACTCTAACCCTAGTCTCTCAATCCCTAATTGTTCTTCCAAGACTGTTCTCACTGACGATCTCCGCCAAAAGATCATCAAACAGGTCATCTTTTCTGGGTTTTGTTTGCTTTATCATTGTGATCATTAACTGTTTGATATATTTCCTCTGAAAAATGAATGGTTATGTGATAATGCCTCCTTTCTGTGACGTGGTCCTGACTGTGTGTATGAAACAGGTGGAATACCAGTTCAGTGACATGAGTCTGATAGCGAATGAATCATTGTCGAAGCAAATAAGTAAAGATCCTGAAGGTTATGGTATGGAAACTTATGAATCCACCATTTGTTCTTGTTAAAATTTTCAATATCAAGACAGTTTGGCCAATGAGACCTCATTAGAGTTAGCAAGGTTAAGGCTTTCGAATTAGTTTTGGACTTTCGATCGAATCGAATTAGTTTGCTGAGTTGATTATATTGTTCTGTGCTTAAACAGTTTTTCACTGATAAGTATTGGCTTTGCTTTAGTGCCTATATCTTTTATTGCTTCAACAAAGAAAATCAAGTCCCTCATCACCAACCACCAGTTGCTGGCCCAAGCACTTCGCTCCTCCTTAAAGCTTGTAAGTTCTTTGGTTCCATTGTTCTTTTTCGATTGCGATAAGTGAAATTCGGGTTTTTTTAAGTGATGATCTTTGTTCTTTTGATGTATCTACTAACATTCTTGGAAAGGTTGTGAGTGATGATGGCAAGAAGGTTCGTCGTAAGCACCTGTTCACCGAAAAAGAACGAGAACAAGTGCAGGTACGACAGGGGGATTTTGTCCCTTTTTTTTTTTTGGTATGGTGCAAGTTGCAATCTACTTTTTCCTTTGTTTTGCAGTCTCGTACTGTTGTTGTAGAGAATTTGCCTGAAGATCACTCTCATCTGAACCTTGACAAAATCTTTAATGTTGTTGGGAGGTTTGGTTTTCGTCGCATTCCGTTTTGGTTTATGGTTTGTCGTTGGATATATAGAATGATTCTTTTGCAGCTCATACGATTAGTGTTTTCATACAGTGTGAAGAACATCAGAATATGTCATCCCCAGGAACCCAATTCTTCTCGTTCGAAGAATGACTATTTTATGTCTAACAAGGTATATGGAGGTCGGAATCGAACCTGTTTTCTTAGTTAACCTAGAGATTATGACACAATTTGCTTCATGATTCCTTCTCTGTTGTTGTTCATTAAGCTACATGCACTTGTGGAATACGAGTCGACAAAGTTTGCTGATAAGGCGGTATGTTAACTTAGTTTTTCTGCTAGAACTTCTTGTTGTGATCTTATTGTTTTAGTTCTTTGAATTCCTCTTTTTCAATGCCATTCAAAGCTTATGCATCCGACGCAGGTTGAGAAGCTAAACGATGAAAGGAATTGGCGAAAGGGGCTCCGAGTAAGGCTGCTGCTTAGACTCTCGGTATGTTGTGTGCGTCTTTCACAATCCACATATGATCTGTTTGAATGCTCTATGCTTAATAGAAACCATTCACAACATCTGTTTTGGTACAAAATGCAGCCTAAATCGGTTCTGAAAACCCGAAAATCAGAATTCGATGGTATACTAGACGACGAAGATTCACCCCATGCTGAACACTCCGAAGGTTCTTCTCCACCAAATGCTGAATCAATTGATAATAATGTAAGCAACAATGTTGATTAACCATGTTCATTATATGGCTCCTTTGCCTTACAAGCTGAACGGAAAAAATTCATCATCTGTTAGGCTGAAGATAGTGCGATGGGATTGAAGAAGGGATGGTCTAAATCACGAGGGAAACTTTGGGGGTGTGCCCAAAACCAAACCGGACGTGGCCTGCTTTCTGGATCTCCTCAACCTAGTAATGCAGTCCAATGTGAAGCATCGATGAAACAGATGTTGAAGGGCCCGAGAATGCCAGATGGAACCAGGGGTTTCACCATGGGACGAGGCAAGCTGTTGAGTTCACCATTGGAGGGATGGTGAATTTGCACAATTTTTTTCCATGTCTGCTATCTGATATTAACCAAATACTACTGAAAATAGGCTCTCTGCATTTTTCCTGAAAGCAGCACGAAATGATCAAGTAGCTAAGCATGGTATTTTGCCTATATAGAGTTTAGTACTGCTTCATAGCTATTTGATGGTCATTTCCTTTTGGCACACCAATTTTTCTGGGTTTCTGTTGAGTATAATGCTTTGGATTCATCAGCTTTCTGCTTTGAATTCATCAGCTTTCTGCTTTGAATTGTGTAATGTATCCGAATAATCCAATCGAATCGTTACATCTGTTTCTTTTCTCTCATTTCTCAAAAATCTGTGAATCAATATTATAAACAATAAACATGCCTTATGGGGCAAGGCAGAGAATTGAAACAGGGAAACTAATTGAAGAAACTAAAAGTAGCGTTGCCTTATGGGGCAAGGCAGCTCAGTCCAGGCTTTTTTTGGGATAAATTTATGTGAAAAGCCCAAGAAATCCAAATTTGAGATGGAGAGATCAAATAGAAGAAAAAAATAAATATATTTCAATTTGAAAATTACATATTAAAGCTTTATGTGAGTTTTGTTAATTTAAAAAAAAAATCAAACTTAACAGTGTAAAATATTATAATAAAATTCGTCGTTTATTTATTTAATTGTAGATTTGAAATCGTCGATCGGGTTAGCTTGAGTTGAGTTATCCCACGTTGTCACGTTGACGTGAGGTGTGGTCCATGTGGACTGTGATGGATGAATTTTTAAATTTTTAATTTTAATTTTAATTTTAATTTTAATTTTAATTTTAATCTTTTATCTAAATCCGAGAAACAAGACAAAACCATAACACAAATAAACATTTGAGCAAAAATAGAGCTTGAACCCATCCAAGATCCTTCGTTCACCAGAGCAAGACTATGGGGGTCTATCCACCGTTTGTCCTCCGACACTTGTCTTTCCACTCTCCACAGGCCTTCCTTGACCCAAAATCGGTTGTCCTCTCCTGAATCCAAGTCGGCAACTAGCATGTGAGCGGCTTCATTTGATGGTCTAGGCACAAACTGGAAGTTTCATGTTCTGAAAACTCCAGGTTAGTGCACTGGTTTTCGACAAATCTGATTCATTCGAGGATATTCTGTCCATTACTGATTGAGAGTCACCCTGAAGGATAATATCGAAGAAACCCAAGTCCGTTGCAAGTTCCACCGCATGAACAGCAGCCACCGCTTCCGCCTAGAAAGAGGAGGTAATCCGATCTACTTTCCTTCTACATGCACCCATAATATCACCTTCATTATTTCGAATCAAAACCCCTGACCATGCTCTTTGTTGTGAATGTACAAATCTGGCGTCGAAATTAACCTTAACCGTAAGAGGAGGGGGAGACTTCCATCGAACCACCGCTGGCACTGAAGAACCATGGAGACTGTTGTTTGCTACTGCAAATTCCAGGCACTGAGCTTTAACCAAGGTAATAACCTCTGCCACTTTCAAACCTCGACCTTCGTGATACGCTACATTTCTCGCATACCACAAAGCCCACGACACCACAACGGGCTCAGTATGCTTTGTTTGTCAATAAAATTGAAACTCCATTTTAACCATTCGAATAACTCAAGTTTATACACCTGATCTGACCATTGGATCCGCATAGCTACCCATATTAATTGGGCTAAAATGCAATCACGAAAAATATGCACCCTGATTCAATCATAGTAGGGCATTGAGAACATAATGTGTTATTGAGTATACGTATATTGAAAAGATTCTGGCGTGTTGGGAATAAATTCTGCGTAAATTTCCAGACTTGAATTTTATTTTTTTGTTGACATGAACAATCGCAAATGTGTCAAAACACCGCCATATCCGAAGGATCTGAATCAACTCGCGAAAACAACAAATGATATCCGCTTCTCACGCTATAGATCCCCGATATCTCCCCGCCCTAAACTCTGCAATCAACCTGCTCAAAACTTGATAAAGGAATACCAAGTATAATCTCCGCCTCTTCAGCACTAGATAAACCTCGAACAAGCTCAACCCTCCACTTATTTATTTCCATATCGATCAAATCAACTTAGACATCTACAGAGTCCACCCTCGTAGAAGCTATTCGAGTTGGCCACTTTGTGGAAAACCATAAATCATTCCATATGGAAATTGAATTTCCACTGCCCACCTTCCATCGAAGACCGTTCAGCAGGAGGCCTTTTGCACTCCATATAATCATCCAGATGTATGATGGAGATGATCCTAACCCTGCAGTCAGGAAATCTCCGTTTGCGTAATATTTCGCCTTAAGCAACTATCCCACCAGCGAATTCGGATTGTTAAACAGCCTTCACCCCTGTTTTTTTTAGAAGAGCTACATTAATTTTTTTTCATATCTCGAAAACCTACCTCCAACTCTTTCAACTAACACAAAGAAGACCATTGGCACTGTTGCGTGTGTGAGTGTACTAAAATTGAACACAAACTGTGCAAGTATACACATCGAACAAGTAATAAAGTGATGAGTGAGCATTGTCTCCACATGAATTGGAGGAAAAATTCAGGTAAAGTTTAAGCACCTAAATTATAAACTAATGAATATAAATGGTATGAACAATTGTAGAAAATGTTGTGGTAAAGTTGAGATAGCTGAACTGTTGTAGCAAAAAGTAAAGGAAAAAATGCTCTAGCAGAATTTTGTGATGAGAAATGGTGCACAAGATAAGACAACGGTCTTACTTCACACGTGTGGAACGCTCAATGAAGTTAAATGACTAGGTTTATCTTAGACTCCTATGTCTTACTCTAAATAACTATTAATGATTTTCAATTGATACAATGCTCGACAGAGTTTCCTAAATTTTATCTAAACTATCTCTAGTGAGAAACCTGACAGTGAAGATGTTAAGGCAATACTTCTCAGCATGAACCCTAACAACTACTATCGAATAAGCCCTACTCTAGTTAGTCGTTGAAACTCTTTCCTTATCTCTAAGGCGAGTTAAAGTTTTTCTGCCTCCATTGTTCACACAGATCTAAGCGCAACTCTCTCGAAATTAAGCATCAAACAAAGATAAAGTCTAACTCTCGAAAGCTCTTATAATCTAAACGAGAAAACAGTAAACAAAACATGTATATAACTAGAAATGCTATAGCATTCATTAAGACAAAAACATATTCATCTAAAATAAACCTAAGCCAACTTAAGTTAGTTCATGGCTAGGTGAAAAACATCCAATGTCATTCGTTTAATACAACCCATTTCGAAACAAAGATGGAAGAGATAACAAGCAACAAAAGCGAAGAAGACTCCCAAGCCAAAAACTATCGTGGACTGTCGTGAACCACCTCAAACGTTGTTGCTTCTCTCAAGGGTCAACAAGTTTTATCCCCTCGAGGTTCTAGTAATGAAGGCCACTAAAATGAAGAAGAGAAGAATGAAAAATAACTGCTTCTAGCTTTTCTATTTCTTATCTCACGGTTTCCATCCTTATCATAAATATGGTTTCCTTTTTCCTTATATAGTGGGGGTTCCTAGGGTTTTGTACCCTAATTCTTGAGGGAATGTACCTTCACGTGTGGGGCACAATTGGAAAGGTGTCACATGTGGGTTGCTGCCAATAATTATCTTCTTCTTTTGTCTTCTAGTGCACCTAAAAATGTTGCTCCCTTTGCTGCAGCATAAGCGTCCTTTCCAGGCAGTTCACCTTAAGTTACTTGCACATCATCACATCAAAGCAAACCCTTCTCAAGTAGCACCAATTCCACCAATGCATGAAAAAAAAACAATAAAATCCTCCATATGCAAATGACTAAGTTATATGCAACTAAATGCAACTAAATGAGCTTAAGAACATTCGATAAATTTAGTAAAAAGGCATGAAATATATCTTTTTTACAAGGTTAACAGACACCAATGGATACCCCTCTTGTTCTCGGCCTTTTGCCAAGAGAAACGAGCCATGATACTCTATAGATCCGAACAAAGATTCTTTGGCAACAAGAAACACGTCATAGTAAATAAAGAAATGGCTTAAAGAATAGATTTAATAAATACCTCTTTTCCCCCTTAAGAAAGAGTACGAATACTACAACTTCGGATCCGTCCTTAAAGTTTATCTTTCAAACTCATAAAAGCCCCACGCTTATTACACCTCACAATTGCTAGAAGCCCTAAATACTTTTCAGTATTAGATTAATTAGAAACATTAAAAATGCGTCATACGTCATGTCGATTCTCCTCAACTACAATTGAACTGAAGAACAAACCCGACTTGTTGAAATTGATCTCTTGTGCTGAGCTATTTTCATATATGTTCAATATTTCTTTTGTTGGTAATGCTCAGTCTCACATAGTATTGGAAACACTATTGGAAATGAGTATTTAAGGTATGGATTCTCCACTTCCTTGTTGAGTGAAAGAGAACAAGGGGAAATCTCGCACACCGCCGCTGCCGCCGGCCGGCCTACTCGGCTCGTGGTAATGGTAATGATAATGATAATACGTGTCTTCGACACCTCCGCGCAGATACTATCTTTTTTGAGAAAATTCTTGAGGAAATTCTCTTTGGACTTCACTTGATATTTATAGGTTGTCGAGGACTGTTTAAATTCAAATGATAACAACTTTGTACAAAGAGGATAAACTGTTAATATCAGGAGTTACAGAAGTTACAAGATTTAATTTCAAGAGTTATAACAGCTGAATAATGATGCAATAAATCTGGACTATTTTTTAGTCAGGTTCATCTAGATGTTTCAACTGTTACAATGAAGGGTTTTAATCCTGATTTTTTATGGACGATTTTAACCCTATTTTAGCCTATAAATAGAGAGCTGGATTCAGCTTCCCAACTTACTCTCAACATTCAGAATTCACTCTCCAAGTGTTTTCTAAACTTGTTCTCTGTGTGCTTTCTGATCAGAAGTGCAATACCACCAGCAGTTCACTTCGGTTTTGGGTGTACGAAATTTGGAGCGACTGTGTTAACCTCGGGGGACGGACCACCTACTACAGTGATTACACACATCGTGATGAATTCGTTTCTAAGGCAGTGGTTTTATCACGACACGGTTTACGAATCTATTTATTTTAAATTATCGTTTATCTTTCCTTTCAGTGCTAACTATGTGGTTTTGCATTCTATATTTCCAACATGTTTTAACAGAGTAGCTTCACCCCTTATAGCTTCCCAAAAATGAGGCTATCATCCGTAAAAAGTAAATGAGAAATCCGAGATGCATATCTGTTAAGTTGAACACCCTGCATTGCACTCGAATCAGCCACCACGTGTAAAGTCGTCAACCCCTCACTGCATA